TTCCTGAAATCTACAATCTGTAAACGAGAAATTAAGTCCGCCCGGGTATTGTCAACACCGGGTATATGATAAGCCCGAAACAAAATATTATGACGTAGTGATGTTAGGACAAGGTCACGGACTAAGATCATGATCATGGGGTGTTTTGAAGTCTGTTTATTGATAATGTCAACCAAAGCCGCATTATCAGTAAACAGAGAGACACATTTATTGCTTATTTGACATGCCCACACGTGGAGCGAGATAGTAATCGGAAAGAGCTCCAAAAATGCAATGTTCAATGATTTCCAATTGGCATCTTGGCAGGCCATTCTCCGTAAAACCAATGTTTCCCAAAAAGTGCGCCATAGCCCTTGGAGCCGGCGGCGTCGGTGTGAAGGTTGAGAGGCGGTGAAACCTGCCACGGATCGTCCAGAAAAAATGTACGGCCGTTAAAATCTCTTAAAAATTGAAGCCATACCAATAAATCTCGACGACAGGCTTCAGTAATCCGTATACGATGGCGAGGGAGACGGACACCCTTTGTGAGATCAACAAGCCGCCGAAGAAAGGCCCGACCAGGTAGAACAACTGAACAAGTAAAATTTAATAATCCAATCAAAGATTGAAGTTCTTTCAGGGTAGTTTTACGGCGTCTGTGCATGTCCAATAACTGAGCATTGCATTTTTGAAGCTTATTGTCCGGCAGACGTGCTTCCATATTAATCGTGTCGAGTGTTATCCCAGCAAACTGTAAAGTGGTTGAAGGACCTTCTGTTTTTTCATGTGCTTTTTTCATGTGCTATAGGTACCCCTAAACAATCACATAGGCTCAAAAAGTTGTTTAAATCGGAGGCACATTTCCCTTGAGAGGTAGCAATAAACAAGAAATCATCCACAATATGCAAAACGCCGAAAGCACAGAGATAATGTTTAGCAAGCCACTCGAGCGCAGTGCTAAAAGCTTCAAAATATAGCGCAAGACGAAGAACAGCCCATGGGCAGACACCAGTCAAAAGAGTACGAATTATTCCATGTCATACCCGGTAAATGGTAATCGTCAGGGTGAATCGGAATAATGCGGAAAGCTGATTTTATATCGGTCTTGGCCATGTAGCAGCCCCTACCTAACGACTTAATGAGTGTAATAGCATCACCTATTGAAGCATATTGAACCGACGAAAATTGGTCCGGAATAAAATCATTCACCGACGAGCCATCTGGGTATGACAAATGGTGGATAATACGAACTTCCCCTGGGGTTTTCTTTGGAACTACGCCTAAAGGTGAAGAAATAAAATTATCAAAAGGTGGACGAGAAAATGGACCTACAATTCTCCCAGCGCACCATTCTTTCTCAAGTTTAGCAGCTAAAATTTCAGGTTGGTCCTTCGCACTGCGCAAATTTGAAGCAAGACGGAATTGGCTAGTACCAACAAACCCAACGCGAAATCCAAACGAAAAGCCATCAATCAAAAATTGCTTAAGACGAGGGTCGTATTGTTGTAAAAGGGGGCTAAGGGTGGATACTTTTACCGGCGTTACTGGCGGGCTGTTTATTATGCGATGGAGTTGCGATAGTTCTATCTCCGGCTGGTTTGGGAATGTTCGAGGCAGAGTGACAGGACGTAGCTGCATGTCTACCACCACATTTGGAGCATTTATGGTCATATCTGCAGCCCGCACAGGGACGACCGGCGTTGAACGTGAAACACACCCCTCTGACCATTGATTGTTTTCCCCTGAACCTCGAGTTGGGTTTGTCGGTTGCAAAATATCCAGATTTGGCACGAAAAGTCACCGCGCGATGCCATAACTCCCAATGTACCACTCCCCAAGGGTACGTTTGTGGGTTGCCTTGACGAAGATACCGGAACTGTTCATCGTAATAGTTCCAGTCCCCCCCACGTGTGGCGATGTCGCGCACTGTTTCGCAAAATTGCATCAAATTTGGCGTCTCTCTGGGGAATTTTTCGCAGTAGACTGCAACAAAAGAGTGGAAGGCCGACACCCACTCGTGAATAGACGTCAATTTCTTCGCATTGTGTACCGGTTCGAATGTAAAATTAGGGGTTTTAGACCCAATTCCGGCGGTGGGAGCGGTGATAGATAATGCGAACTTATCTGGATTAGGGGACATATCTAGAAGAGAGCCAAAGTTGACGAATTCCTCCGCCCAGATCTTATTCTTTAGGCGTGCACTCAAGCGGCTACCTAAGGGTACACCTATACTAGAAAATAAAGGCGCACTGGGTAATATCTCGCTACCTGACGACTCAACGGCCCCAACTGGAGTATTGGTAAGGGACTGCACATCGCGTTGCACTGCGTCGGTGACCAGATTGATGGAACGGGAAGAATTCTGGGCCGCGTTGGTCGACTGTATCGCCGTTTTCACTGCAGCGACAATAGACGAAACCATTGCATCCGAAAGGCCCTCCGATCCCACACCAGATGCAGACTCCTCAACAGCCGCTTGGGAGGGGGATTTCGACCGGGTCAGGAACAAATTGGACGCTGACGGTATCGTCTGACGGTCCTGCTGTTCGTCGCGATTTCCTTCGTGGCGGCATGCTGATTAATAAGGCCTATAAAACTTAGCTAGAGTTAATTCGGACATGTTATAGGCAAAGTCGGGATTAGACAACAAGGAGAATCAAGGGGGGCAGAATGCATTGTACGCTAATTCAAAAATGCAGGATGCCCATTAACCAGCTACAACAATCGTATGTCATCATATGTGATGGGAGAGCGTCAGTCACGGGCCGATCACATAGGTATCTATAAAGACACATGTAAAAGCGTTAATAGCTGGAGTGAATTGGGCACGTCAACGACGGCCGGATTTGGTTGTCACTCAGGCACATAACGCAACAAATTCCAAAGACAATGATTGACATAAATCAGGGATGGGCATCACACAGGAATGCACAGAATCCCAAAGCAACTATTAAATTGCAACAAAAGCACATGGACAGGACATAAAAAAGACACCAAAAGCCCACTGAACACAACTCCTTGGCCAAGGCTATGAACTTGCAAAAATTAAAACTGGTTGGGCGAGAAATTCCTTATGTTTTTATGCGTTTTAAACAATGCAGTACTGCCCCTTACACTCCTGTACAGTTTATGCTGCCCTTCTGTATTTAAGTGGACACCATCGTATGACAAGTATGAACGGGAAGCCCGCCAAAATCCCCGATGCGTCCAATATATGGCAAAAGGGAGCGGTTCTAAGACCCCTTGAAGGTACTGCGCCAGGATTTGTACGTTTGCATTGAACGTCCCAACCGGGTGCCTTTTAACGGTTTGACCAACACAAACTAAACGAACCCCGTACTCATTATGCAGTAAACAGACCAAATCCTCGATGGCAGAGCCAACAGATGCTGGAGAGGACCGACGGCGTGTGAGGTCGTTAGTACCGATTTGTAAAAGTACAACATCAGGTTTAAAACGTTCTACTTCGGTTAAATCAAACCGCCTAACCTTATCGATTGTTCGACCCCCAACGCTATGCCAATGAATTGTAACCGGGGTATTAATGTTTAAATTAAGGTTATATGTGGGACTATTCCTAATAATAAAATCCCGGAGCCTACGTATAAAGGAGTGACCCAAAATCAGAACCCTCGGCTGTTCCATACCGACAAAAAAGAAAAACACAAAAGAACTTGCCTGAAAAATTTGAACAGGTAACTTGCCACACGATGGTGTAGAGGTAGAAAGGGGCCCTCGTATTTGCGCAACGTACTATAAAGCAATGCTCGATCACGTGTTACCTAGTACCCAGTTCACGCAGCCAGTGCTTGATAACAACAGGTATCCCGACGCAAAAATGTAATTATGTTTGGGACATAATTTTTTGTTTTTAGACTGCTTGTATTTTTCTATTTTTTTTTGTTCTAACTCCCGGCCTCCGCGGTTTCCCAGAAAGCTTGAACAAGCTTTTTAAAATTGACTTTGTTCCTCGGATCAATTAAACACCAGGGTGATCTGCGAACGGACTATAGCTATATAATTCCCTGGGGTACTTCTTTGTAATAATCTGTCTCCGTCTCCGGGGGAACTCCTCTATTGAAGTTTCTGATAGGATCATATTATTATGTACAATAGCTGCAAGAATAATTAAGTTTAAAAAGTTATTGTATGCAAATAGGAGAGAGATTTTATCCCCAGTTTTTACCCTCACCAGGGTAATGCATACATGGGAAATGGGGTGAGTGAGGGATTTAAGGAATTATGCATCGTAGCATCACCGGCATTTTGCAGTAGGTTTTTATAGACTGGACTGGCATAATTTTGGCACAATTAGTCACTACGAGTATAATTTTCATCATTTTGTTATAATTTTGCAGTACAAACTGAATTGTCATTTATTGAACATGCAACCAATGTTTTTGGTCCGAGATCTGTGTTACGGGCAGATTTAAGTAACGAAATCATTTATTTGTCTGTTTATTGCCCCATTCATGGGACCTGGGTCCAACAGGAAGTGACTCAGGACTCTCCCCACAAGACTCAACGTGCGGACATAACAAGCTCGGTTACCTGGGGTGGCGTCCGCGTGTTGGTTGATTATTGTTTGAGTATTTATACTTGTCAGACAATGAATTAAGGACTCTTAAAGTTTCTTGAGGGTAAATGAGTTTGCCATTTACTTGTACATGAAACATTGAAGTGTTTTTTTTTAATAAATTTAAAGTAAAAAGGGAGAGGCATAATTTCTGCATTTTGTTTGCTAAAATGAGCTTAATTTACAAAAACTAGCAGATTTATTGGCATAATTTTAGAAATATACGAGCACTGCAAGTAGCATATCATGCTACTTTTGCGAGCACAGTCTATCAAAGCCTACTTTCCAGGGTACCTCCTTCCTCCCCTCCCCTCCCCTCCCCTCCCGCTAACTCGTGGTTATTAAACTTTGCGAGCCTAACTCTTTAACACCCACGAAATAAATTCTAAGTGACATGCTATGAACAATGATTATTTTGTTTTCAACAGATTGGAAGGTGGCAGGCATGAAAACATTAATCATTATTTTCGTTATCATGTTCCCAGTCGCGATGATAACAGAGGAAGATGTAAATCATGGAGGTAAGGGAAAGTTCATTTAAGATGACAAGGGGGATGAAGATATTGAAACTTGAAGCTTGAAATTTTAGCAGCCCCCCTCGCTAGCGGTTCAATTTTTTAGGAGCCCCCTCCTTGGTAGTCGAAAAAATGTCAGAGCCCCCCCCCCCCCTCCTCCTTCAATTCCTTTGCTCCCCTGAAAAAAGATCGCTAGACTGTATTAAATATATTTACCGTTATTGTCTTCAATGGTTTATCCTATGACAAACTTGAGATACAGTTGTGATACAATTTTCTAAAGCATTTTTAGGATGAACAAGAGTGTAATAATTACTGAGACTACATTTGTTATATCTGTAAACCACGTGATATAGCTGAGTTGCACAGGTCATTAAATTGTTGAGTTGAAAACCATCCGATCTGTATGATGATGTCATGTGTTGGTTTTGAAGTATACAAATTTTCGGAGCCCCCCCTCCTAGCGCAACAATTTTTTCAGAGCCCCCCCCTTCGGGTGTCTAAAAATTTTCGGAGCCCCCCCTCAATATCTTCATCCCCCCTTGTCATATTAAATGAACTTTCCCTAACAACTAACAACTACGACATCACTAACAAATTTAATTGCCCACCTGCGGATTGTCGCCATTTTATTTCAGCACCCTGTCAAATGTCCTGTCTCTGCTTCATGCACAGAAAGCCACTTAAAATTTTCATTCTTACAGTTTCCCTAAAACATAATTCCGAGGATTTATTCACCATAATTTTTACATCGTCCCTAAAATTTGCATGCAGAATTGTTTTCAATTTTTCCTTGGAGTAAGCAGTCGTCATAAGAGAAATTGAAGACAATTTACTGATGCAAAATTTTTGGGGGGTAAACAAGATGTTTTACGGGCGATGTAAAAATTGTGAATATGTTAACAACGTCTAATAAAACAAATAACAACTTCTATTAAAACAAATATAATAGTATTATATTTGTTTTATTATTATTTTTTAATTTTACACTTCAAAAATGCGCGATCAACATTTGGCAAGATTTCTTTCGATCAGTGTCCGTTCATGAATTGCTTTGCGCTATTGTTTTCTTCTCTAATGGATTTTGAAATAAAGTTGCTATACAGTCAGCTCTCTCTTAACAAACACCTCTTTAGACGGACAACCCTCTGGTGTTGGCCCCTGTCATTATCCAGTCATTTGACTATAACTATGCTCTCTATAAGACGGAAACCTCTCAAAGACGGACAACCGACACTTTTGAAACCATCAACGGACAATTGAGAAGTGCTTTAGGTAGCGAAAAATGCCGCAAAACGGAAATGTAGGTGCACTACATGACAGTACAAATTGCAATTAGGGTAAGCAAATTACATACCCAAATATAATACGCGTCTTCTTACAGCGCGTATCTTGAAACGGCAAATGAAGATAAACTCTTAACCTGTAAAACAGCTATGTTCTCGGTCTTCTAGCTGAACTGTTTGAGCCTTATGGGAACTTCAGATAGTGACATCAAAAACAAACTATTGTAACCTATGTACAATAGAAGCCCGGTAACTCGAATTCTGAAGGGAAACGAAACACAGTTCGAGCTAGCGAGGGTTCGAGCTATCGGGGTCGATTGAAAAAATTATGTTGCCATGTTACGATTACATTTTTAATCAAGGGAAAGGAAATTTAGTTCGAGTTAGCAGGAAATTCCAGTTATCCGAGTTCGAGTTAACCGTGTAAAGATGATTGGAAAGTGGGGTGAAACTCAAGGGAAACTGGACTTAGTTTAGCGTTACTGTTGCTGTTCAGTAGACGCCGTGAATGTTGACATGTGTATGAACCACGTGTGATTGTACAATGAGAAAATGATTTCACCTTTCAGTCCCTTTAATAGACGGAGAGTCGGGACGGGACCAGAAGGTATCTTCCTTAGAAAAAATTGACTGTATTATTGTTATTATTATTTTATTCTTATTATTATTATCGTCATTGTCATTATCATTATCATTATCGTTATCGTTATTATTATTAAATTAGTAGTAGTAGTAGTATTTTATCATCATTTTCTATTATTTTATTGGTTATTACTATTAAATAATAATTTATTACAATTGTAATAATTGTTATATTTATTATTGTTTTGCAAAGTTGATAAAATGCGGTTAGCTTACAGATTGAAATTTTTTGTTCATATGTGTTACTGCTTTCCAGTTTGTCCCGTTCCGATGAATAAAGAAGAAGAGGAGTTTATTAAAGAGCGGGAAAGGAACAGAGAACTAATGGAAGAAATCGCCAGAGAAATTGAAATGACGTGCTCAGGTAAGTTTAAAAATGAAAATAAATAACAATATTAAAAACCTTGGATGAGCCAGTCCTTCCGCGCGAATTGCAGGCCCTTTTGAATAGTTTAACCCTCCGGGACAGTTGGGAGTGTTCTATATGGAACAGTGCAGATTTTACATTTCTAAAGCCACTTACCCTTAACCCATTAATTTTAGTCTTTATGCTGCAAATACACTATCTACAGGTAGCCATTGTGACTCCTGAAGGAAATAACCCACCCTGCCGAGGAAAGGTTGGCCACGTCCAATACTCTGTCCAGTGTTGGTCCGGCCGGGGTTTGAACCCGCAACTTCTCACTCAACAGACCGGCGCTCTGGCTGACTGCGCTTATCAGACGGCGGAATTTAAAAAGAGTTGAGACACTGCTACCTTATTATCGAAATCCTGACTAATCTTGTGAGGGTTCTGAGAGTTATAGACAAACATTTTGGGCAAAAATCCACTGCCAATTTCGCTATTCGCCACTTCTCTAAATAAAAGATAAATCGCCACAATTCCGAAAGGCTATAAGTTGGACTAGATATGTATAGAATAAAAGAGCAAACAAGAAAACTCCCAAAAACGTTTGTGCTAGTTTTTTTTTCTAAAAACGCACAAAATTTTCCGACTTGGAATTTAATGGTATCATTTTAGCTAAACTATTTCAGGTCCATTAGCCATTTTGTAAGAAGTGGGTAAAAATACAATATTTGTAGCAACCCCTTATGGAAAATTGTTTCGTTGTTATTAAACGAAAACTTAGGGTGTGCTAAATTGTGATCAGTCTGTTACCAAACACGAGACTTAAGGAAGGAACGTTATTGGAAAAATTGGGGGCTTATATTAAATGGTTGTGGATGACGAGAAATTTTTCCCTTAAATAATGAAACTATAATTATGCAAATTCGAAGCCTTTCTCTCAAGTTATTAACCCCTTTCAATTCAATCAAACTTTTTCAATTCATGGCGACAATTGAAATTTAAGGTGCGTTTGATTGCATGGGAAATCCGGATTTGAGATTTAAGTCTAGATTTTAGATTTGGCAATCAAACGCGAAATGCAAAACGGATTTCACCCTCACCCCCCGAGAAATCTTTCACCAAATCATGACTTTATGGGTGTCCTTCAGGCGTTGTGCGTCACGACCCACAAAGGTTCATGGGTAAAGCTGTTACTGTGCCTCATTTCAGTCGTGACACGGTGGAGTTCGCATCTCGTAAGAGAAATGAATCAAACCCATAGATCAAAACACTGCTGCCTTTTCCGAAAAACATTACGGAAGAGAGCGATTTCGAGAATTTTCAAGATCTCATAGTGGCCTTAGATGATTGCTTTTGGCTTCATAAGGCAATTTCAAGAAGTTTATCGCGATTCGGAGACGATCGTGCGATCTAGCCGACTTTGGGCGGCGACTAATTTCCTGCTTCTCATAAGATTTTATGTACTGTTTGGTTTATATGTATGTTTTTATCTCATAGTGAAAGAGATCTGTAGTTCATACCTGGATTTTCTTAACTAAAAAAAAATTCGTCCATTAGAAGTGTTTGTATATTTGATGGACTTTGTTACCGGCAAAGCAGGAGGAGCGCGTCCAAACAGCAAGGTGTGAAATCGTCTCTCATAACAATTTTATTTTCATCGACAAGTTTATTTTATTCTGAAAACAGTGCCCGTTTGAAATCCTTATGCGCAAATAAATCTTCTATCAGGCAAGGGGAAAACAGACCGAAAGAGCCGAACAGCTGCAGCACAATCGGAATTTCACCGAAGCTACAGCCGCAGAAAGAACAGTGAAATAAACCACGATCTTGTCTGTGCGGTCATTGAAGTGAGCGCAGTATACCGATTTTGTTATAAAGTAAAACCTAACCTCACAGTTTTAAAATCCTGTACGATGTTGTCTGGATCTTCTATAATGGTTTTGTGTTTTGGTAGAGATTTATAACAATTTATTCCCTCACATAAGTTTACACAAAGATTTGCATACACGTAGCACACACCGCATGCAAATTATTTTACAGTCACGCTTTCAGTTTCCGCACTGGGTTATGAAAAATGTTTTGTTTCCAAAGGTTATTACAATATTCAAACTTATTTACCTTTTGTGGTTTAAAATAGAACAAACTCTTCCTGGATTTGGCGTTACTCGCTTCACGTCGGCTTCCGCTTCGGCATGTTTTTCAGGGGCGGATCCTGGATTTTTTTTAGGAGGGGGTGCACTCGTCTCTTGCTCTACTTCAAAACCAATAAACCACATAGTTTTTTTTTTGCAGAATACCAGGGGAGGGGGGTGCGCACCCCCTGCACCCTCCCCCTAGATCGGCCCTGTTTTCTCAGCCCGTTTCCCGGGAGTTGTGCCACTTGGCTGAGACGATGTCTTAATTCCAACACACTTTCAACGGCTCATAACGGGAAAACTAACAGGGGTAGACCTGGGTAGACCCCCAAATTTGCAAAGAAGAAAGGTTGAAGTAACAAGATGGCCAAAATAATTCGATAAAACCGCTAACAGTAACCAGCAATAAATCCAAGAAGAACGGCAAAAACAACACTCAAATCATCACGGCGGCCTGCACATACCGAGCAATTCAAACTTGTCGCAAACGCTCAAGAAAGCAAAATATTTAAAAGTAACGCAACTGCTATCAAGATAAAGTGTTCCAACAACTTTCCACGGCGGTATAGTGTCGAAATTACCAACACAAGCTTGGAATAAAGCGAAAATTTCACCACGTATACCTCTGAAAACAGCTCTTTCCGAGCCCGAAAATCACTCTACAAATGACGCATTCTGATTGGTCAAATCTCGTGACGCACACCGCCTGGGTGTTCTTTATACCGTTCTAGTTGGAAAAGCGAAAAAAGACTTGTCAAACTGTTCTCGTGGACAATGTTTTTTTTTCTGCTTGTTATGCGTGCGCGTGCGAGACAACTGTTCTCTCAAAACAGTTCATATCTTTTATGGTATCCCCGATCTCCGCATCCCCCCGCCCCCCTACCTGAAAAAAAAAGTTAAAATTAAAAATTAAATAAATTCAAAAGACGGAAAGAAAGGAAAACCAATGACAGGCTTATCTGCGTTGAAATCCGTTTTCAGATTACGCGTCGTTCGATCCGAATTTCAAAAATCCAAGTCCAGATTTCCCAATCGAATACGCCGGCCCTTTTATCTTTAGAAGTTAGTGGTGAGTTGCCATGGCAATGGTTGCTTCTGAGTCTTTATACTTTGACCCATTTTTTTAAGTTAAATTTTTCTTAGCCCATTCCCCCACAAAACCCCCAATTTTCTAGTTGATGTTCAAGTTTCATGTCTGAACACAGACTGATTACAATTTAGCACACCCTTAGCTTTGAATTTTAAGGGTGCTACCTAGTTACATTTGTTGGGTTCTTGGCTCATGAACTATTTCGGGTGCTCGCAAACAGGAGAAAACATGTTTTATTTCTCGTTAAACGTGAATAAAGGCAAAACGTAGCTATGAAAGTGAAACTTGCCGACTAGTAACAGCGGAGCTCAGACTAAACGTTCAGGGCGTAAACGAAAAAGAGGCAATACCACTCGTGGCACGAAAAATTATCCCGCGCTGACTGCGGCAGTTCAAAAGCGCTCGAAATACTAATTAGCAAAGGTCAAATTTCGCTCGTATAGCAACCACGTAGACCAGCAACACCATACGATAACAGGCCTTTAAATGCAACATTTTTTTGTTTGGAGTATTGATACCAACGTTTTCTCAATGAATTTTAATCAAGAGATCATAATATCAGTTGTTTGTGCTTACAGGAGAAAACGTCTAAGTCAAGGAAATTCTTAACTAACTTTTTCTTGCTGATTTGTAGATGAGTGTAAAGCAGGACTACATAACTGCCACGATGACGCATATTGCACCAACACCAAGCTTTCCTTCACGTGTACTTGCAAACCAGGATATACTGGGGATGGCGTCAACTGTGCAGGTAACATAATATGGAGCTGAAACGAACAGGATTTTATCTTAAGTCATATGCTATTCCATGCCAAAAATAATACAGCCAAGTGGAAAGGTAGAAACCTGTTTTCATATTCAGTCAGTGATATTTCACAGGTTGTATCTACGAAAAGAGTTTTGGCCTTGGTACGTGTAAAGTTGTGACCTCCAACTTTCCCACAGAAATCAATAGCAACGGAAATAATTTTAACCGCCAAAAAAAGTATATTTAAAGCCAACGCTGCAATGTACGTATGTTAATACAGCAAAAAGGCAACATTTGTATTCTTAATTTCACAAAAAGTAATAATAATAACTGCTACAACTTAACTGGTCGAGCTTAGTGCCAGTTAGGCTGGAGAAACAAATAGTGTGACCAACATATGTCTGGGACAGGAAACACTGAGCTCAAAGGCTTGGAAACAGAAAAAACTTGGGATCATCTTTGATATAACGAGATCATCTTCACTAATGTACCTAACAAGGCACGAAGGCCAATAGCCAGCTAGGCTGTTAGAAACGGTTAGGGCGCAGCATTTAAGGTAAAGACGTGTTTATTACGATTGAGGCCGGGGTCTGTAGTATTGCCAATTCAGGACTGCGTCAATCATTGACTTATGTCGCCACTTAAGGTGGCCCTAACCTATTTATATGCGGGTTGGTTAGGTTTTGAAATCGAGTTTTTTGGCAGCAAAAACTTAACCGATTTGATGATTTTTGGCATCCTTAATAAAGAATGGTCGAACTTTCAGAAACTGTTATTTATTTTATTGTAGTTATAAAAACCTTTGAGATATGGGCATATGTTTAAAACCGTGTAATTACAAAAAATGTGAATAACTTCGAATTCAAACCCTTAGACAGATTTTTCTCTAACTTCAGCAAATAAGCCTCAGAGCTCTCTCTAGTTTTGTATCTGCGATTTTGAAGTCACTCGCTGCACAAATACCTGGTCAAATTTTTATCTTAAAATGCAATGCTAACACATTTGTGAAATTTGACTCACAAATAGGGGAAAACTGCCGACGGACTATTTCCTATCTGCTAGGGTATTGTTGCCCAAAGCTTCAGTTGCAAGAAACTGAGTGATCAGAAACCTACGGCGAATACAGTTCACAATACAAGAAGAACAACTTTAAGCTGAATGCAGGCAAGATGAACGAACATCTGTTTATCAAAGTTACTACGTATTTGTCCTTCTCTTTTAGAAAAAATCTCAATAAAGCAGGATATAGCATCTACGAAAATCTAGTTACCAGTTTTTAGTACCGAAGGTACCCGTCTTGAGGAGAAATAGAGCCACCAACTCCAGTACTTCAAGCGATCCATTTTGAGCTGCAACGAAAGCCCATATATTAGGTAATTTATCTAAGCTTGTAAGATTTGCCATCACATTCGCACGGGCAGTTTGCCACTGGGGATAATGAAAAGAATAAGACGATTGTCATATTTTCTTGATCTTTATCCCCAAGCGGCAAACTTCCCGTGCGAATGCGATGTCAAGTCTAAAAAGCTTGAATAAATTACCGTATGCAAGGGATTTCAGTGCAGCTGAAATATGGACGGTTAGAAGTACTGGAGTTGGTGGCTTTATTTCTCCTCACAACGGAAACCTGCGACGCTAAAAACTTTTAAGTGTTTTTCGTAGACGCTATATTTTGCCTTGTTAAGATAGGTTTCGAAAAGAGAGGGTAAAATACAAAGTAAGTTTGATGAATGGAAGTTCTTTAATCTTGCTCCGTGTTCAGCATAAAGTTGTTCTTCTTGTATTGCGAACTGTATTCGCCGTAGGTTTCTGATTACTCAGTTTCTTGCAGCTAAACTTTTGGGCGAGAATATCATTGCAGGTAGGAGATAGTCCGTCGGCAGCTTTCCTCTATTTGTGTGTCAACTTTCATAAATGTGTTAGCTTTGCATTTTAAGATTAAATTTAACCAGGTATTTGTGCAGCGAGTTATACGGTCACGATTGACTTCAAAATTGCAGATATAAAACTAGAGAGCTCTGAGGTTTATTTGCTGAAGTTAGAGAAAAATCTGTCTTAGGGTTTCAAAGTTATAGACATTTTTTGTAAAAAATACGGTTTTAAACGCATGCCGATATCTCAAAGGTTTTTATACCTACAAGAAAGTAAATAACAGTTTCTTAAAGTTCGACTATTCTTTATTAAGGAAGCCAAAAATCATAGAAATCGGTTAAATTTTTCCTGCCGAAAAGCACGATTCAAAACATAACCAACACGCATATAAATAGGTTCGGGCCACCTTAAGAGCCGTCCCGAGACAGCTGTTCTAAGCATACATTGAGACTAAATACATAAGATAAGGAACAGGTGAAAAACAGCGCTAACCGTACAAAAAAAAATAAGAAGAAATTATGAAATTCAAAAAACTGGCAGATCTGAGCTGCCAACAGAAATAAATGCGGTCAGACAGAGGCCAGAAAAGAAAACCTTTCCAAAAATCCACGAAGGGAGAAAGTGCGGGCGGGAAATCTGGAAAGGAACCAAGCCTAAAGCTCAAAGACGTTTCTACGGGACTTTACAAGTTAATCGAAATAGGCCGCTCCTAAAATAAACAAAAAAATTAAGAAAACCTTAGAAAGGTTGTTTCAGAAGCCGAGATGACGTACACGCGATATTTATACGTAGCCTTTTATATTCCCGGTATGGAAAAGACAAGAGAAGACAAGAACTTTATTTATACCACACAGAAAAAAAGACATTAGCAAAAGACGAGACTACTTATGTAAGGTACAAGCGTCCTTTAGCTTAAAAGCTAATCTAGCTAAGAGGCATTATAAAGTAATTAAGAATATTTAAGAGGTTCTTTCATGGAGGCACAAGTAGAAAACAATGTAAAAAAAAAACAAACAAACAAACAAATAAACATAGAAAAGAAAAGAAAAAAACGGATATGTACAGAATTGAATCACTGAAAAATTGAGGAACTGGAGAAAATATTGGAAAAGAAAGAACGTAATATGAACTAGCTATAGCCCCTGACCTAACTCCTAGGTTCTGTGGTATTTCGTGCCGTCAAATAGTTATTTCTTATTCTTAGCGGGATCATTCGTCATAAATAACATAACTTGCCACATTTAAAACTTTGAATAACCATTTGTCTCTGATTTTATCTGCCATTTTACTGTTGTTGTAAGTGCCATCAATTGAATTAGTGTTCCCTGCAATTGCCTTATTTTAAAAACTGATTTATTCATTCGTGGACTAGCTACCAGTCTCGAAAGCATTGCATTGCTATCTCTCATTCAATAGATATAAAACTGAAATAGAACCGATTCAGTTTGATAATTCAGCATTAAATCTTGATTTCCAGACATAAACGAGTGTAACACAGGAAAACACAACTGTGACATCGGTAGTTCAGCGTGCCATAACACTATAGGATCCTTCGGATGTGCTTGCAAGGAAGGTTATTCTAAAAATGGAGAAAATACATGTACAGGTAACACTTCAAATCCCTTAATTGAAACACTCAGATATTTTGTAGCCACGTCTCTTTCAAATCAATTTTCTCAGTTCCAAAGTGGTTTTTCACTAAATTCGCCTTAATTGAAGTCTCGTTAATTTCCATAATACCTTTTACTAGTACTGATCGCAGAACATTAAGTTCCTTTAATAAGTCAGGTATATTGTAATTCTAATAGGCCATTTTCGAGTTGGCTCGAGCTTCTGTCTTAAAACGAGGCGAAGTGCGAAGCCTTTTGATATGAAAATTAATTTCAAAGGAAAAAGGTTTGAGGATTGACCTCGTTTTGAAATGAAAAGTGATTGCATGAAATGGCTATTATGGTAGGCCACAGTAATTGTTGTGAAAGAAAAAGGAAATCAGTTTTGATAATTCAGTGCCTGACTTCTTTTTTGCAGATATAAATGAGTGTGAAGCAGGAAAGCACAACTGTCATGCAAACGCTAATTGCACAAACACTAAAGGATCCTTTGCGTGCACCTGCAATCCAGGGTATTCTGGGGATGGAGTTAACTGCACAGGTGAAAACAGTACCTCGGTCTTCTTTGTAATGAATCTTTTTTTAATCAACTCCATTTATCTCGCATTAGAGCCAAGTTCAGCCACAAGGTAGTATGCAGCTTAGTCCCTGGTAGTGCAGTTTGTTCTTTTAAGCTGAATAAGTTTGGAAATGCTCTTGCATTATAAAAGTTTGTGATTTGCAGTATCTGGATGCAATTTTAGCCTTACACATCCTTGAGATATTTAAGTTGTTTTATGTATTATTATATTGTGCCCATGCAAGATTGTCATGTCCGAACACGCATTCACGCTGGGTGAGCTTACTACATTTAATTAAAGCAGACCAATGTACACAATTCCGTCTTTAGAGTATGAGCGGAAACGTGCCCTTTTTATCCCTCATTCTGTTGGCAATTTTTGTTTAGAGAGGAAGTCATTCTGTATTCTCTAATATCTTGCTTCTTTAGGTCTCGCGAATCCTCTATCTATACATTTGATGTCATTTCTGAATTTCTCACCTGCTCAATATATAGCAAAAATGTTTTTGCTTTTCAGTATAGCCAGAAATCTCTCGCTCCCTCTCTCTTCTGATCGTACCCAATCCTAGAAAATAAAAGGTTAAGTAAATCAGTTTTGATGATTCAGTCCTGCATCTGATTTGCAGACGTAAACGAGTGTATAACAGGAGAGCACAACTGTGGCGCTAATGCAGTCTGCAATAACACTGAAGGATCTTTCGAGTGCGCTTGCAAGCCAGGGTATTCGGGGAACGGAGTTAACTGCACAGGTGATTATACTTCAGTAAAGACTTGGATCGCCTTAATGTTAAGGCTATTAATTCAGTATTATTTTGTCTGGAGTTCATGCGTTTGAGTCCCTGAGTAGAATCCAAGAGCGGATATTTCCAAATGTACAAATAAGAGTTTGAAGTCAAGACTTGGATCGACAAAGTGATCGTTGTCATAATTATTTAGCAATTACTGAATGAGGCTGAGTAGGCTACATGTGAAGAATTGTGTAGAGCGAAGAAGATGTTATCCTCAATCTTCCGGTGACTCAATCCAGCTTGATCGAAGTCTAGTACATCTGATCAATCCACTGAAAGCGTTACTTCTCCCAGTAAAGATAGATCATAGATAATAAAATAATCAAATCGCAGCCGGCTGAAGGCTGAATTGTTTAATTATTTACAATACAATAAAAAGTATAAAATAATGGTAAAAGACTAATTTCAATTTTGTTAATTAGGAAAAATGATAATGAAGAACTGAAAAAGAAAGGAAAAATAACGTAATAACACTTAATCTTACATTATAATAAGATGTTTGGACGGCCGCACATGGCTGGTTTGAACGAATTTTTGCAGCGGTTTGTGCGAAAGTGAGGCAAGTCGTAAACTCTCTCCTGTCTGGTATTGTAGTAGCCTTGGAGGTTCGGAGAAAGGAGGCAAGCAAGTTTGGGCTGATCCGAGGATATACTATTCAACAGCTTAATACCCTGATCGTTACGCCTATCATATAAAGTGCGGAGACCAAAACTGACTAAACAGTGTTTGTATGATTTATCAGGCGCTATTATGGAGAGCGCTCTTTTTTGTACACGCTCACTTAGACAGTCGGGTAGGCTATGGTGGATAACGGGCGAGTAATATTGTAGTACGGGTCTTATTACTGTACAGTGGAAGTCAACAATATCTTTACAGCTCAAGCTGAACCAAAAAAAAATACAAACGCTTATTTGCTTTCTTAATAGTTTCATTTAGTATTCACCAAATCAGTGGATAGCAATTTTCGCGCGTTCTGATTGGCTCCCGTAACTAGGAATATCCTTGGATATTCACTGTTTCATTTGTTCATGACGGGATTCTGCTTCTCGTTTCGCGACAGCTTCGAAAGATGAAATTTTAGCGGTAAATGAAGCAGCTGCACCAACAAATACCAAGAACGAGAAAAAATTTGGCTTTTCGATGTTTACTGGTCGCTAGAAAAGAATTTTCTTACTGAATTTGGAACAAGGTCATAACAAATGATCCCCGAAACATTGTAAATTGAAACGTCAACAAACTCGAACTAAGTGATTTTTATCCAACTGATTTGGTAAATACTAAAACAACTATCCCACTCAGGGTCGGTTCATAGCGCTAGATATATACCTCGACACTTCGCGTCTAGGTATATCCCACCTGACTATTCTGATCACCTCCCCTTCAGGGGATAGTTCTATATTATATAAACTTTCCACTTGAAATCGTTAATAATAATAATAATAATAATAATGATAATGATAATAATAATGATAATGATAATGATAATGATAATGATAATGATAATGACAATGATAATGATAATGATAATGATAATGATAATGATAATGATAATGATACGGACAGTACTTTCCTTAGTATCTTTGCTGTCCCCAACAATGCTGTTTGCTGGATAACGTTCACGCCGATTCGCTTCAACTTTAAGGAGTACATGAAGAGAATCGGCGTGAACGTGAGATTGGAAGTTATCCAGAAAACAGCATTGTTGGGGAAAGCAAAGATACTAAGGAAAGTACTGTCCCTGTACGAAGAAGGAAAAGAGAGACCTGGGAGCCGTGGTGAATTGTTGTAACCTGCTTCCAAGGACTATAAACCAGGCCGAACATCCTGCCTGAGTCTACAAGGAATGGAAATAATAATAATAATAATAATAATAATAATAATAATGATAGTAAAACTTATACAGCGCCGATATATATTGCTATTTTCATCAGCGCTTAAAAATAAAAATATAAAAAAAAATTACTAGGACTGCATAAAATATACAAAGTGAATGAACCTACCAAAAAGAGTTAAAACAATTATGTCAACACTAAAACTATAAAAATTACTTAGTCTACTTAGATGGTAAAAAACTGCATAAAACCTACTAAAAAAGAGATTAAAAAGCACATAAAATTACAAAAAAGCTTTCTGAAATAAAAATGTCTTGAGTGTCTTTTGAAAAGATGCTACTGAGGGGCTACTCCTAATCGCATAGGGCCATGAATTCCATATTTGAGGAGCAGCAGCAGCAAAAGATCGATCTCCTAACGTTGTTAAAGTCTTGATTTCAAAGGGTTTAGTAGCAGTCCATCACAATCGGAGAGTAAATTGTATTTACATGCTTCTTTAAGATTAATACGTTCCTGGAGATAAAAAGGTGCTAAGCCAGTGATAGCCTTTTACGTTAACAGTAGTATCTTAAAGTCAATTTTGAATTTAACCGGCAACCAGTGCAGATTATACAGCATCGGTCTTACGTGGCAGTATTTAGATTCCTGGAAAATTAACCTAGCGGCAGCATTTTGGACCCTCTGTAGCTCATTAAGCTGGTAGGCTGGCAGGCCACAATTCAATTCAATTCAGTTCAATTTTATTATTCACACTTTATAAAATATTTACATTATATATAGTAAGGTAGGAATACACTAATAAAGGAGAAGAAGAAGAAAAAAAAGAAAATTAATGGCTTGGGTAGAAGTGTACGGTGGTCAGAGGAGCTTAGCTTTCGAGCTAACCACCGCTATATTATGATTGGAAATACATAATAAACGTGCGCTTGGTGCCATGGCAACTATGGACGATTATGCCAGCAGTCAGGTTATGTGAGACAGTCATATTACAATTGTTACCTTTGAGAGTTAACTAGAATTCGCTTATATTCTTTTTTGAACTTATGGTAGCTAAGTGTTTTTATCTTAGTAGGAATCTCTTCCCAAGTTTTGGTTATGGCAAACTTAAATGTGTGTTTGCCGTAATTTGACCTTACACGTGGTACATGAAAGTTAAGATTTGAGGCATATCTGGTATTGTGTGAGTGAATATCAGACAGCTTTACGAGGTAGTTTTGAAACACTTCAGGGATATTGGCTTCATTTTGTGAGATTTTGTGAGCTAGCAAGGAGATTTTGAGTTTAAAAATGCTATCTATGTTAAGTATATCTAGAAGTTTGAGGTAGGGTGCACTACTTTCTCTCTTATGGCTAAAAAATATGCAGCGTATACATTTATTTTGTTTTGTTTGAACTTTAGTTAATCCACTTGGGTATGTGTTTCCCCATCTCATAATTCCATAATGAAGGTAGGGCTAGATAAGTGAGTAATATATTTGTTAGAGGGTGTTTAAAGTTAAGAACTGGCGTAATCTGAAAAGGATTCCCAAGTTTTTAGATATTTTGCTGTTAATGTGCTGAAAGTGGAGAGCCCAATTTAGATTTTTGTCAATGCAGATACCTAGGTATTTGGTGTAGTTCTTTTCTTCAATATTGCGTAAGTTAAGCTTAAGTTTATTTGCTTCTTGGGGGGAGGAGATTGTCATATAGTGGGTTTTCTTAAAGTTTATAGAAAGCAGTAGCTAAGAAGATGGTTGAATTCCTCATTTATAGTTTTTTCAAGGTCCTGTAGAGAATTGGAAGAGTAGAAGAGAGTGGTGTCATCAGCAAATGTTCTAATATTTGCCTTTTCTAAACAATTGGGCATGTCATTGATATATATCAAAAAGAGCAGGCTGTTACAATAGTCCACACGACAGTGTTATACCTAAACGTTTGGCACTATTATAACCGCTAGTTCCTTCTCGTCGACCACCACAGGGCTGAAGACATGTTTGTTATTTTTAAAGTCGATGATCATCTCCTTGCATTTGTCATCGTTTAGTTGCGTGCATTGCTCACGTGACCAGTCCTCGACGGCACTAACTGCGCTTTGAATGTCACCCTGTGCACCTCGCGGGACAAACTCATCAATAGTAGAGAGATTAAGCATCGCGTTCACCGCAAACGGCAAACTTGAGTTTCAAGTTGAGAAATTTTTAAAATGAGCAGATAAAAGCAGCTTAAAACAATTCTTACGGATAAAATTGACCTGAATGTACCGATTTTCGTGTATTTATAATGAACAGAAAACGACTAGTGAAGGGGAAACTTGTTTACGTTTGCCGTTTGCCGGAAACGCGATGCTTAATCTCTCTGGTAAATATCATCAACGTACAAAATGTGCTTCTATGTGTCCACACTGAAAACCGCTGAGGAATGACGATGGGCCTAGTTTGGTTCCCTGAGGCACACCAGCGCGCACAGGGCCCCATTCATAAAAACAGTCTCTATAGACAACTTTACGCGTTGTTGTCTATGCGTTAAGAAGTCGGCCACCCAGAGGGTAACAGCGCGAGGAAAAGATAGACCGAAAACTTTGCGCACAAGTAGGGCGTGGTCACTGAGATCGAAGGCCTTCCTGTAATCAAACGGGACGACTCTCACAGCAGCCCCAGACCCATCAGTGGCTTGCAACCAGGTACATGTACCATGTAGGTAAGGGCGTGTGGGGTAGAGGACGCTGTGGTGCGACCATACCGATTTGGATCAATCACCTCCAGAGCCGCAGGGCCGAAATGAAGAGCGACGACAAAGTCCTGTGCAAGTTTAGATATAACGGAGGTTAGGGAGATCGGACGAAGATATTTGTTGATGTCGATAACAGGTTTTAGCTTGGGGACAGGCGCCATCTTCCAGGATGATGGCCGTCTCTGCTCCGCGAAACTGCTTTTTTGCACAGCTAACTGGGCAAGCAAGGATGCCTGCGTACGCCTTCACCACACTACCCCATCTAGTCCTGCCGCCTTCATAGGGTTAAGCCTTTTTAAAGCAGATAAAACGGCGGGTTCGGATAGGTTCAGCGGTGACAAATCCTCACTGTTTGACACGAGGAATTCAAGCCTTTGGAAGGACTCCATAGGTTGTAGGAAACCTGAATTGATTTGGCTGGCAATCTATTGGTCAGACAGAAGAGCGGAACCTCGATCTATAAGTTGGCAAACAAAGGGTCTGAGCCAGGAGCGAGAGCCATGTCAGCGATCCACTTGAGCGCACTCCACCACTAGCTAGGCTTGGTTTGCTTTAGGTGGTTCACTTTTGAAGTCTAGTAGTTGCTACGGAGAACTATCCCTCTGTCTAAAGGAATAGGGCCAAAATGAAAAATTCGGCCGGATTTTTTGCGTTCGCTACCAGTTTACTTTGGAAAATCCTGCCAGCAAACCCCTATAACGTGTACTAACCAGGCTTTTATACTTTTTACATACTATATCACTTCTAAAAGTAAACAGTAGTTTTAGGCGCCAAATTTATTCAGACCATACTCGGTAATTATTGAAAGTTTCAAGAAACGGCGATTTGAGAGAAACAATCAACTTGTTAATTGACAAATCTATTCTAAAGAATTGCAAGAAAAGGCACATTGTGGCGTTGGCTTTGAGGGTTTACCGGGTAGTATATGACATGATACCGCATAGCTGGATCGTCAAGTGTTTGGAGATGTTTGAAATAGCTGAGAATGTGAAAAGGCTTTTTTATTAATGGTATGCAGACATGGAAGTAGAGTTATTATCATCAGGCGAGAGGTTGGAACTCATTATAATTAAAAGGAGAGGCATTTTTCAGAGGGCTATTTGTTTTGTGCACGATTCCATTCACACTGGTGTTGAGAAAATCAACAGCAGGTTAAGATCTTGCGGAGAATTTAAGATTAACCATCTTCTTTTTTTGTGAACGACTTAAAATTGTTTCGGAAAAGTAAAGATCAAATAGATTCGTTGGTGCAAACTGTAGAGTTGCATAGTAAGGACATTAGATTGGAGTTTGGATTGAAAAAGTGTAGTGTGTTGAGTAGTGATAGAGGGATGAAATTAAGCCTCGAGTAAGTGTTGAGTGTCGAGTTAAGTGTCGAGTAAGGTCCAGATAAATCATTGATATGCATAAGAGTCGAGTCCATGACGTCACCCATTGTTTTAACCTAGGGAAAAAGTGGGTTCCTCCATACTGGTAAGTGCCCTCCTCCATATCTAGTGAGCGTCTGTCTTATACAATAGGAACAATAGCTTTGGCTAGAATTGTCCGGTAAGTAACTTGAGCCCGGTTTGCTGGAACGGCCTATTACAAAAATAGAAAAAAGAGAAGCGATCACCTAGCAACACAAGAAACGGCTTATATTTTCTATTACAATTTAAGCGCTTAAATTCGGATATATAAACAAAACACACACTCAGAAAGTGGAGCTGAAAACTCTTTATTTCAATTTTGGCTGACTACTACAAAACCGTTAGGTCTCAGCTCTTGGTGAGCTTATGGCCTTGTCATTTTCACGCGCCGTTAGTCAGTTAATTATATGCGAGTTAACAAGCCGACATTTGCATACAAAATGGCTCCACAGTAAAAACCCTAAGGGAGAACCTTGACTTATTATTATAAAAAGACACAAAAAATTTCTTAATTTAACAAGGATCAAGTAAAACACGCGACTAATAAACGCTAGCAATAAAACAAGACAAGAGATACCGTTTTAAAAACTTTATTGAGAACCAATGACAAAAAACGGTATAATACACAGCGAATTGTTGTGGAAGAATCTTGTGTGCTTGATGTTAAGTCTGCAACAGTGGTGATTGTTTCTTCCGGTTGTGTTCTCGAGTTCAATTGTTCTTTTAAAGCCAGATATCTTTTTTACAACTGAAAGTATCGCTTATCTTTTTCATCGTCCCGAAGATTGTTTCCAGAAAGCACATCATCCATGTTGCCCTGTATTCCTTCCATAGCTGGAAGAAGCAGGACGGGGGAAAGATTTTGCTGCTGTAGGTATTTTAAAAGCTCTTAAGGTATATTTTCTTCATACCCTGCTTGGTTAAAGCCTTATTCACTGGACAGGAGGTTTGTTCGCAGTGGGCAATTATCTTGGGTAGTAGTTTTTAGATTAATCAGCAGATAACCAAAAGGTCTTTTTATACAGCCTCCTTGTACTGATTTAAAAAGAAATCAGTTTTCCCGGGATACATTTGCTTTGCCAGAGTCAAGATTTGCAATTTGTCTCGTGGATTCTTGAATAGCACCAAATAAGTCATCTGATCGTCAAACACGATCAAATTCCGTTTGTTCACATCAAAATAGAAATCCTGCTCCAAAGCCGTAGGAATTCCCTTGATAAATTCAATGTGTGGCACGGCGACTAGCATCTCTGTATACGCAGGCTGCCATTGTGAATAACACCAAACGATCCTCTCTTGGGGAAGGTAAATTGCCTCTGAAGCTTGATGTAATAGAGATAGAACCCAGGCCGCTTTTCCGGACTTGGTCATTCCAGAAGTTTTGGAGGTGAAAGGATGCTCAAAGCGAAGCCGCTGACATTTCTGTGAAGACATCGGAACTGTTTGAAATGGGGTGAGACCAGCATTGCGGTGTTTAGACATCGCATGCCTTTACATGCTACTCTTTCTACTAAACGATTTTTCGCAAACGGGACAGAACCAACTCATGTCAACTTCTCAGGAGCAGAATGTAGACTGAGAAAAAGGTAGAATGTTGCGCGTTTATATAGGTTTGGCAAGCCATGAAACCACATTTCTATTGCTTTCCTCGGCCTCCTCCACCACCACCACATTTCTGTTGTTAAGTTATTAACTGTTATTTTTTCGTTGTTGTTTTTATAATAATATGTCAAGGTTCTCTCTTGGGGTTTTTACTGTATAGCTGAGCCAATTTGTATGCAAATGTCGGTGTGTTAACTCGCTTAATTAACTGACTAACGGCGTGTGAAAATGACAAGGCCATAAGCTCACTAAGCGCTGAGAGTTAGTCGTCTCCTTGAGATAGAATACCTGAATTTTGTGCTTGAGTTTTGTTTATATCCTGTGTTTAGTCATGTTAATTTAAAGAAATGATTATTTAATAAAGATGTTTCAGTTACACTCTGTAACGATAGCGTGTTCAACAACTGAGCGCTTTCATTTTGAACACATAATAATTTCTGCATGAGCCAATCATCAGGGTTAAAAGAGACCGGGCAATTCTAAGCCAGCCTATTGTTCCTATTGTATAAGAGAGACGCTCATTAGATGTGGAGGAAGACACTTATCAGTATGAAGGAACCCACTTTTTTCCTAGGTTAAAATAATGGGTGACATCAAGTACTCGACCCTTATGCATATCAATGATTTACCTCAACCTTACTAGACACGTCCTCGACACCAACGGGGCTTAATTTCATCCCACTATCACTACTGTGTTAGTAATGACAAGGGAA